GGGAGTCAGGCACATCTGGGCATTTCGGCCGAACATTCGTCGGAGTGGGGGTAGGACACTGACCAGGATGCTAGTTGGACAACCATGAGCATTGGGATGTCATCCGTGACCTTCCAGAAGTATCTGGAGAGACTGCAGGGAGGCTAAATTCCTGCGTGGGCCGGGGGGTGGGGAAAGCCAGATGCATTACGATGGCTTAGGGGACCCCGCTTGAACTGACCCCAGCTGGTGAGGGAGAAGACTGAGGTCTGGAGGGATTGACCGTGACCTTCTGAAGCTTTCACAATAGTAGGCGTGGGAACCAGCTCCCTGACTCCCCACTCAGTGCTCTTTCTCTGCGTCAGGCTGTTCTAGGTATCTCCCAGCAGGATCTGGGCCTGCCTGACCTTGCCCCCCAGATAGCCAGCGGCGGTCTCCGGGCCTCCTTCCACCTGCCCGCCGTGCACACAGAGGCCTTCATTTCCCCCTTGTGGTCTGCGTGCCTCCCCACACCCGACCCTGCCTGGCTTTGGCCCTGTGACGACCACGGGGCTTTTGGATTTCATTCTATGGATGCGGCCCTGGAGGTCAGTTGAAAGGGCGAGACTCCGTATTTGCAAAAGGTCTCAGCCTCAGCTCGTTAGGGGCTGAGCAAAATGCTGCTATTCACGGTTCACTGTCAGGGGCTTCCTGCCTCCCATGCCCCCAAAGCCCCAATTCTACCATTCCTGCCTTATTTCCCACCGCTTTCCTCTATCAAACTTCCCAGCCAGCCCAATGAGTCTCGTTGTTGCCCCTTAAACTCACCAATCCAGCCACAGTGCCCTTGCCCTGCTGTTCTCCAAGCGGAGAACACCCTCACTCCAGCTCACCGCGAAGCTCCCCTACCACGCGGTGTTCGTCTAGCCGTTCGTGCAGAACACATAACTGACCGGCCTGGGTTCCAAGAGCAAAGCAAAGCACCTGGAGCTTCCTCCAGCAAATCAGTGCAGGGATAAAAGGAAACACGAAGGGGTGGTAAGTTTAGAGTCTCAAAAAGCCTACAGGCAGGTTGTTTCAAGAGGTCATGAGACATAGGAACTGTT